GCTATTGACATTAGACTCTAGGGTTCTTTTTGATAATGGTTTGTGCCTTGCATAGTCATCACAAGATAAAATTGAAGCACTCTCCCTATCACATTTAATAGCAGAGAAATTAAAGATAGTAGTGTGGGGGGGGGAGTGATTAGCATAGCAGAATAAAGGAGGATTTAAACATATAGAATAGTTAACAGAGGAGAATATACTTGCATGAACAGTGATGAAAGAAGAGTGGTGTAGGGCAGAGGGTAGGAGTTAAAGTTGCGTGGCTGTTGAGACAGCTGGTCATGAAGAAAAGCTAGAAACGAATGCCATCAGTAGTAGTTCTGGGGTTTGGTTTTGTTTTTAAAATGCACTTTCAAAATAAGTTTTAGCAATGTTGCAGGATTATCTTACTGCTGGCATTTGTTTGCACTATTCAGCTGCCGCTTTCCATATGTGTTGGAATTGTGTGAGCTGGGACTGGGGATGGCACACAGGAGATTTCTGCAGCGTTCAAGAGGAGAGAAGACTAGAGGCTTGAATGACTACTATGGCTGAGAAGAAGGGAAATGTATCAGCATGTTTGGGAAGTATCCCAGATGGGGGGAAAAACTCTTCCCTCTGTGTCAGTATCTGCCCTATATCAAAGCAGATCTGACTTAAAGGCTTGAGGCTGGAAGAAGGGAGGGACTGTGCTGGTACAGAACTGTGGGTGCATGCCTGTCTGAGAACTTTCTGGAAATCTTAGGAAATATGCCAGGTTTATTTAGTAAAAATACATGAGTAAGGAGGGAGGAGCCTTGCAATACAGAGAATTTTTAAAAACTCCATAATTTTGATTACTGAATGCCTGCCCTGAAATCCTACCCGGAGCCATATTTTGTATTGGATAATGAAGTGTGTCAAAGATTTTAGGGGAGAAAAGATATTCTTACACTACTGTAAAAGGTAAATCAGTAAAACCACACTATATAGCAGAATTTCTAAGTTAAATCAATAACCCTACACACTAAAGTAGTGCTTTGTAAGCTAAAAGTGCTCTACACATCATACTAATCCTTTGAGAGTGTAGAGAGTTTAGGAGATTGGTTATACCATCTGCAATATCAGTAAAATACAGTATTAGGTTACATATGCCTACTAAGGCAGGCGTCAGTAAATAAGTATGTGATATTAAAAATTTGACACTTCTAAGTTATTCTTTGATAGTGGAATGTGCGTATTGGTATGTTGCATTTACCTTTCTGTGTATGTGATCTGAGTGAAAATCAGTCCTTTGGTAGAGCTAACAGGCCACTTTAAGCATTTACTGGTGTGCGGATGAACCTGGAAGATTAACGCTGTAATAGGAACAGGAGTTGGAGGGCTGACATTAGTTTCTAGAGGTCTCTGGGGTGACTTATCTGCAGCTAGAGAGGCGCATTTGCCATTAATTTTTAAACGGTGAATGAGCTGGGCTGAATCCACTCCCTGCTCCCTGCTGCACTACGTCCTAGGGAAGCAGCGTGTGCTGCCGGAGGTGCAGTCCTGGCCAGGCTGGCAGGGGGTCGAATGCTCTCTCCCCACAGTGTTTATGTCCTTGAAAAGGGAAGATTGGGGTTTCCACTGGCTGCCCTGGGGAAATCTAGAGAGTGTGTGTAATGAATAAGTGCATCCTTTAACTCTGGTCTTGACCCTTCACCAGAGTAGTCTCCCAGCTACCTCTGTGCTGTAAGGTTGCAATGGGCAAAGCTCTGCTGAAGATGGAATCAGAATCTTACCAATTTAAATTTTCTTACTTTTTAACTCTTTATTGTTTAGGAGCAATTATTTACTGCTTCTGGTCCAGTACTTTGGTACAGGGCCGTGCAGGGCCTGAGTGGACACCTTTCCATCCACAGCACTGCACTGCAAGGACCATCCAGCCCCATCAGGACTGGTGTGTGTCATGGGCCCGTATTTAACGTGGTGGAGGTCCTTTTCCTAAAGAAACTCCATCTTGTGAAACAACCACCGCCCCATGTGTTGTCCTAGCAATCCTGGAGTTGTGCTTGGCTGAGGTTGGACTGCTGTCTGAAACTTGCAGTTCTTTTGGTTTTGTACTTTGCCATGCCTGTGCATTTTGTTTGCTGATTCAGTGTAGCCAATTTTATCCAAATAATTTGAATTAAAGTTCTCATATTGGGTTTCTGTAGTTAAAGTGCATGCATGCAAGAAGAATTGCCTCCTTTATTATTCTCAATGGTACTCACCAGCTCTAGTCCTGATGGGTTGTTTGCATTACATTTGAGCCGATTATTTTTATTTAGAAGAACATACTTATTAATCTACTGTAATATTAAGTAACCAGGGTTGATGTTTTTCTCTTCCTCTAGCCTACATTTTCTGAGCTAGATCTGGGAACATATGCATCACATTCCTTTTTATTTGGTGGGCCTCAGAGTCTAAATTGGGACTTTTGAGCTGCTTTTGAACACTGGGAAACCATATGTGGCATTGCGTTGTTTGAATGACATTCAAAACCAGAGGGTTTGTGTAAACATGTCATTGAAAATATAGCTCAGGCAGGGTAAGAACATGCACCATTGTTCAACCTATGCATGTGTACAAGAGGGCTGAGAATGGGAGAGAAGAGCTGTAGCTTTTCTAAAATAAGAAAGAACAGGGAAATAGTCTTTCCAGATGGACCCTACAGAGCTGATGTCTTCTACTACATACCTTGACTGGAAGGAAGGGGGCATTTGCACCCCATAACTACTGGTAAACCCAAGAAACTGGAATGGGCCCTCCTGTTTAGCAGTTCACTGTGATCAAAGAAAGCATGTTGAGAAAAGCCCTCTTCAAAGGCAAGAGACACATTCCCCAGAGGAGGCCGGTAACTTCTGTGGCTGGGGAAAAGTGGTTCAAGGTTGTAGATACATGTGCTGTTATTTTAAGAAAAAGCTAAATGCTTGGTATGTGAAGAGTAAGAGTTACTTAAAGTATTAAAGGAATATTGGACAGTGGCAGAGATTTTTGAGCTTCCGAATGTTTGTGGTTGTGTTACAATCAAATAAACAATTTCTCAAAGGTTTTTTTATTTTTATGTATTCCTCTTCAAAAACTTTTTAGGAAATCAAGCTGCCATGGCATAAGGGGCAAGGTCCTTACATGAATATTTCGGTTTAGGAAATAAAAGTTAGGGGAAAAGTGGCCAGCTTTTAAAAAAACAAAAGGAGTGGAGTAACGACCAATGTATCTCTATTTAGTCTGGTGCTGTTCAGCATAGTCCTGGAAGAGATGGGGAATGAGACAAAGAAGCCTTCTAATAATACCAAGTCAGGCAGGATAGCTGAGGCGAGGATGTACAAAGGGACCACAGAAAGGCCTCACTGTACAGAGTGACTGAAGAGCGATTTGGCAGTTGAAATTCAATGTTGACAAATATAGAATACTGCAGAGGAGGAGAAACAATCCTAAACTGAAATACATAGTGGTGGAATCTAAACTATCCCTTGGGAAGAAACCTCGGGTTATAATAATTGTATAAAAATGTCTGCTGAATGTGCAGTAGGAATAAGAATTTTTTTTTCTTTTTTTTTTTTTTTTTTTTTTTTTTTTAAATAACTGAGTACTAGGAATTACTGGTAAAGGAATTGTGAGCAAAAAGGACTATTTTTATGCTACAGTATAAATGTATGGCACAGCTGAATATTGCATCCTTGCTCCCTCATTTTAGAAAGGATGCTGGAAAAGGGGAGAAGATACAGGAAATGTTAACAAAAGATGTGGAGCGACTCCCATACGGAAAACAGCATGTGGGGATTTTCAACCTCCTATCTGACAGGAAGAAAAGAAAGTTCTGTCAACTCAAGTGGCACGGAGATAGCAAATACAAAATGACTATTCACTCTCCCATACTGTGGGAGCCAAGCAGCCTTAAGTGAATGAATGGTTACGTGAAAATTTTAAAAAAGTCTTCCTATAGCTGTGAAACTGCCCTGGTATATTGTAGATGCCAAAAGTTCCCATGCTGACAGTAGTGTTTGGACATGCCCCTTAAATAAGACTCTCATGGTGGTTATTGTATGCAAAAATGCAGATCTTGTTCGGGGAATCACCTTGCCAGAGAATGCTGGGAGCTGGGGAGGCCCAGAGGCTGGGAAGCTGCGGGGGTTGGTGGAGTCGGTGGCGTGTCCTGCCACCATTCGCTCTTGCCTGAGGAGGAAAAAAGTGTAAGCTGTGACTGTGATAGGGCACTCCACTTCCTCAGTCTCTGAGCTTATCCTCTCTGGCTGTTCCTGTGTAATTAGACACACCTTGTGCTAGGGTATTGTTTAAACACATGACAAAAGAAGTTTCTGCCCTTAGAAATCAATTTTAGCTTTTGTGGAAGGATTTCAGTGAGTGTCCTTGCAGAAGAGAGAGGCAGAAGAATTTAAAAAAAAAAGGCTGAGATGAACAAAAATGCATACTGGGTGAAGTCCTAATTTGCAAAGATATTTTAATACTTCTGGAGGGTCTTTTTGTCTTAATAGCTATACATAATATGTTAGTATGTCACCCACGTGTGAGTAACAGTGATATTGATGTCTGGCGTTAATCTCCAAATTGTGAACATCTTTGTACCCAGGCACTTGCTGTAGCTTTTCAGAGAGACTGAAACGCAGCTGACCTGAATAAAACCTGCGTATTGAAACACCTGATTTTCTTTTCTTTGAGGGTATTGTAAATGTGTGCAGTGTATGTGCTAAATACGTTGCTTTCTAGTTGCCTCTCCACATAATGTTGGATTGCAACAGACTGCTCTCTGTCACACCTGATGACTAAACCTGTCTCACCCACGCCATGGGAAAGTACTGGTGCTTTGAGCCTTCTTAGAATCAAGCTTTAGGTTGTCCTCAGATTTCAAATCTCCTGTTCACTTTTTTAATATGGCCTCTAACTCAAGAGATACAAGCACAAATGGATTCCAGGCAACAATTAATCAGATAAGTATTTATTTATTTAACTCAACCTATAGAATTACGCTGGCAGTAGTTTTTTCAGAGTTAGACTTTCATTGAGCAAAAGACTGTCTTTTAAAGACTCTTTTCTCTTTTTCAGGCATCCGCACTGAAACATTCTGGATTTCATTGGGAATGGTAAGAAATTCCCTCTTAATTACAGAAAAAAGAGTCAGTTAAGAGCTGGCTGTTCTGTTTACCTCCTGATATGATCAGAGTGGAAGTATGGCTGTGGAACCTAGATGCGTTTGATTTACATTTTGCATTTTAAAACAGGAGGGGAAGACATAACTAAAGCAAACATACATTGCAACCACGTGGGACAGTGTTTACTCCTGCAATACCAAGAAGTGGGTTAGAGCTGGCTGTAAGCTGGGGCTGAGGGTCCATCAGAAATTGTGGAATGTTTTTCTGCATGATAGAGAGAACTTTTTTTTTTAGCTATCTATAATAAACCCTTTTAAATGGTCTTAGTGAGCACAACAGTTGCATACTTGATACTGTAAAGGTTGCTTAGCAGACCCACCAGAGTATGGGCGGGAAGCAAGATAAAGCCAGGCAACTGGGAGGATGCACTGTGTTGTGAGGGAAAAAGCTTGAAATATAACCGTTGCTGAAATATGAAGTAGTCCAATCTCATTGAGATGAAGGCTTTAGTCTTGCTGGCACAGCTGTGTCAGGAAGGAATTTATTATATTTTTGTCATCATTGCTATGCTAGCAAAAGCCCAAGTATACATGAAGTTACACCAGGGGAAAAAAAAGGATTTTTTTTCTTGCACAACTTAATTGCTCATGGAAATGTTGTAAGACTGTACCTGCAAAAGTTTTTTTTCCTAGTGTAAATTGTCTATGCTTGTATAACTATACAAATAAGCTGTTACAAGAGTTTACAAGGGCTTGCTGAAGAGAAATAATCTATCTGTAGCTAAAGACAGCAAATAATCCTCAGTATAAATTGCCTAATTCGTATGACTGGACATGGTATGTAAAAAGTGAACACCAAATCCAGGGATGCCACAGGATTTTTTGGGGTTTGGTTTTGGGGTTTTTTTAACCATCCCCCTGAACATGTGGTCACTTTTTGCCTGAAGTTCAAGCTGAGAAAAATTCAAGACAGCATCATGCAGGTGTTTTTTCATCCTCTGGAATTTATTATATCTGAGGGATTAGGTACTACTGGTGGGGCTTGAGTTGGTGGGTCCCAGAAAGCCTTGATTCCAGACCACGAGAAGTACCATTTTCTTGGGCAGTGCTGAGGGAGTCTCTCTTTGAAGACTCCCTCTCACATCTGTATACTGGGCTTGAAGCCAAGCCTCTCTTTTGTAAAGAAACCTTGCTAAAATTTCTCATTTCATGCCCCTTTATGAAGAGAGAGAGAGAGAGAAAGTACGAGGGAGACAGAGAAGGAGGTACGTGCCAAGCGTATTGAGAGAGCATAGCAGAGTCTTGATTTTGTGTGTTTGGGGACAAGGGGGCAGCAAAGAAGGAGAAGGCTTTATATTAATTAGCACCATATTTGCCATCCCTTACTTACACCTGAAAAGTGATACATTCTTCTCCTTCTCCTCTCCAAAACACATCTATATTTATTTTAGACAACTGTTTATGTTTGAGTGCTTTGACCTAGCAGAGGCACTTGAAATAAATGCACTTACAAATGTGCCTCCTGCCAGCCTTTGTCTAGTCTGCATATGGACACTTAAAAGAGTTGAAGAATATGTCTTACATATCTCAGAAATATGCTAAGTTCACAGTGGTGGCACCTGAAATAGCTTTATTCTTCCCTCTCCCTTAGAGTACAGTGGAACTGCTAGTGCATTATTTGATAAACAATCACCAATTAGTCGTTCCAATCCTTGCTAATTCAGCAACTGCTCTCCAGGGCCTCCAGGCAGCTTGTATGCCAGCTCATGTGCTTGCCCCAGGTAGCTCTGAACTGAAGGAGTTTCCTTAATTGTTTTTGCCGTTGTGTCTGTTTAAAAGATTTTACTGCTCCTTTTGGTGAGCTAGGTGGTGTATTACAAACACATGCTCGCTGTCTTACCTTCCCCCAGCATGCTGTTAACAACATGAGTAACTTAATCCCAGAATGTAATGCTATGTCCTTTCGGTACCTCTGCACCCACTCTGCAAGTGGGTAGAAACACCCACTTTGCACACCAAATGCAAGGGTGGCCTTGCTGAATGTGAGCAACAGGCGTGATGCTGCTTCCCTTCCTCAGTCTTTTATAGGTTTGGGTGCTGATGGGTGTCTTCATGGATAGCCCAGCTGCACCTCATGTACACCTAGATCACAGATAAACCTGATCTAGTTCTTCTGCTGATCGTAGGATGCAGGACAGGAAGAAAATTAGCCATCCTTGATAGATGTTAAAGGTTCTTGCAAATTCTGTTGAGCGACAAGCTGTGAATGGGAGAAGTGTCTCTCGGCTAACGCTTTTTCCTTATTCTTTTGTCTTACAGGTGCCTGTCAATGACTATGAAAACTGCTGCTGAAGCAAATTCTAGAGGAGGTGGCAGACCAATGGTTGTGGATCCTTTGCACATATAAATGTTTTTGTGTGTGTCTGTTTGACCATGGTAGGATATTTAATGTATCATAGAAACAGGTTTTGTACCTCCAGACTCAGTGTCACTCTCACCATAGATCCTTCCTTCCAAACAGATTTTCCCTCATTTGAACCTTTATAAAAAAACCCCACACCCTTGAAAAAAATGTAACTTTCTATGAAAAATATACCCTATTGTCATCTTTTGGGGAAAAAGGGAACTTTACTGTATCCACTGTTGTTGTAAGTGAAATATGGTGTACAGCATGCTAAGTAACTTCTCAGTCAAATGTCAGTGTGAACCCAGAAATCCTCAGTAGAGGAAAATAATAAATATTTTTATTTTCTCTAAAAGCTTCCCTGTAAAATTCTTCTAAAGATTTTCCTCATGGGACAACACAAAACAAGCAGATGGGTGCCTCGTCACTTCTCAGCCTGGTGGCAGGTTTGTTGGGACTTTTGGCCAAGCACTCTGAAAATATTCTAAGTCTTCACAAAGATGAAGCCCACGTTGTTAACCAGGGATACACCTCATCTGTGGTGAGCAGGAGACTTGAGTATTAGAAGTTTCTATTTTAAGCCATACTGTTACCTCCTTTACCAGTACCTCCAAAGAAACTGCAAAGACGACCTTCTCTACTCACAAGGTCTGGGCAGAAAGTTGGGCAAAGCTGTTCATCTAAAGTAGTTACTTTTTCATTCCTTTCCTTTCATGTGCAGTGACATCCTGCCTTTTGAAGTATGTCATTTTTTTCACATTACACTGCCTCTGCTTCAGCATTTTCATTCTGATTTGTTTATTTTTTTTGTATAACAATCTTAATTTTCAAATATATTTGCTTTCTTTCAATCCTTGAAATGGGTTGTTTGTTCTCCACATCTTCTAGACTTGTGTTGAAGATTGTAGAGAAAAGCTGATACCACAGCATAGTATTTGCAGTATGGTGCGCCATCTTGTAACTAGACTAAATAGCAAGGCATTATTCACAAGGAAGTGAGATTAGATTTGCTGCTGCTAAGTTCTTAGCTGTTCAGTTTTAACACTGGATGCCTGGGATTTCTTTTTATGGAGTGCCTGTTTACTCTTGTATATTTTTATAGAGTAAAAGGGTGGTGGGGAGAATGAGGGTGTTATGTGCAGTAATGTTATAAATAACGTTGGCTCTCAGGTTATTTGCATTATATCCACTTGCCCCAATGAGTAAAGTTTAAAAAGTCTTAAAAGGCAGAACAATGGCATGGATAAGGGGTCTGAAGGAAATGCTACAGAGTGTATTTATTGGGGAGCATTCCCTACCTAGCTACTAAGCCAGACAGAAAATTGTTTACTCCTCCCACAGCAGTAGTTCAAACAGATATTAAAGTCTTAAAGATGCTGGTGTAAAGAAGAAGGAAGGTTACTCAGCACCCATCACACTGAACTGACAGGCAAATGGGGAACATGCTGGGAGCAGAGCTACATTCCCAACCCAGGGATGGTGACTAGGATAACATGATGAAGTGCAGCTGTGATGGAGAAGGGGAAGCACATACATAGGGCTTGTGGTTGTTGTGGTCCTTTTGCTCTGTGCACTGTATACTTTGGGGTAAATAAACAAGAAGTGCTTACTTTTGAGCTGCATTTCAACCAGTGTGGTGTTATTTGGTTCAATAATTAGACATTCAGTAAATGCTGCAAACTCCTGAACAGGCAAGGTGCAGGACAGGGATCTAGGGGAGAGCGGCTACAGTTCCTCCCTCTATGTGTGAATGCTCACATGGGACAAAGATGTCAAGGTCCCAGTCCTGCAGCTACTTAAACTGGAAAGGAGTCAGACTCCAATTTCAAGCAAGGAAGGACTGAGCTCTGAGGAAGCAATGCTGTCATTGTGAAGACTGTCTGAAAGATTTCAGAGTATGTCTATGCCTGTGATTTTTTTCAGTGCTGGAACTTAATTTCTAAAGTGTAATAACACCAGTGCATCCTTGTAATTTTATTGCATTTTTTATTATGGCAATAATTTACAATTAGCCTGCTGTCATATTGGCCTCTGGTTTCAGTAGTCTCCAGTTCTCTGTCTAAGATGATGGAGGTGAAGTTGGACCATTTCATACATGCTGAGTTTTATTTCTTCCTCTCTTTCCTTCTTCCAAAATGCTTGTTGAGTCTGTGGAATTCTTCTGGCTTGTTTTTTCCTAGAGTTTATCCTCAAAGGTACACAGTATCCATTTCCTCAGAGTAGAAGAATTAAATAAAACTCCTTAACAGAGCTGCCTCCTTGATGCAGCATCATGGTAGAAGCTGTGTCTTGCTCATTTTCCCTGACCTTCCTAAACTGCTGTTTCCCATCCCATATCAAAATCTCAAATTCCTGCATGGCAGCTAGGTCCTTGAAGCTGGGAATTCAAATTTTGAAGGGCTTTGAAGCAAGAGGAGCCCTTGAAGGACTTCTAGAATAGCAGGTCACATTTTGGTTCTCAGAAGTAATACAGAAACACCAGTGAATCTGTATGGGTGCATGGCAAATCTGCAGAGAGCAGGGCAGTACTGGAGCTAGCAAAGCCCTGTGAGAAGAAATGGTTTGGCTAACGGCTGTGACTCAAGCACGCACCACAGAGTGCTCCAGCAGCAAACCTCTGCTACACCGATTGGTCCCATATGTGGCTGGGTTTAGCAGTGATCTGAGGCTTGCATCTCTTCTATAAATTCTGCTAGAAACAGTGCTTCGGCTGAGAATCAGTTACAGGCGTAGTTAGTTAATTCAGTGATATATTTAAGTAACACTTTACATCTGGACTTGGCAATGAACTTGAAATCCTCATTTAAAAACAATAGTAAAGTACCGGAGAGATTCTGGCATGATGTAGTCCACCAGCATTTTTTTTTTTTACAATGAGAGCTGATGTTTCAGTGGTCTTCTAGCACGGAGAATGTGTTGGAAACAAAATGCTGTGAGTGACAGATCTTCAGCAAAGCTCTGGACAAAAGCTTTCAGAAACTCTGATGTTGTGGAATGACAGGCAGAATACTGCTATGGCTGAAAGCTGGGGAGGAGAGGTAAAACAGAGAGTTAGGCTAATCTGCTGGGGTAGAAAGAGACCAAAGTTGCGCTTTGGACATCTGCAAATTAACTAAGAATCCTGTTGTTAACCCATTAATTGCTGTAATTGAGAGAGGGCTGGAGTTATAAAGTTGCAAAATCTGTGGTGGAAATACTTAGTCTGGTTGGGAGCAGTAAGAACTATGAATACCTTCAGAGAATTGTAAAGTTTTCCACCAAGTGGGCAGAACAGTGCTGGATGAAGATCAGTGGTGAATAAAGAAAGTAAGACTGAGTGTGAGCTGTCAGTCATGCTGGTTCCAGAAGAGCCAAGTATGAGAGATCAGTGGGGACACTTGCTCAAATTACAACCACAGTCAAAACCCAACTGTGATATTAGGTTGCATATCATTCAAGACTACTGAGAAATTGAGTAACTGGGAGGGTATTAGACAGGCTTTTGTATAGAGCTGTGCTTGTGGTCTCAGCTAGGATGCAGTATGCAAATTTGGCCTCTAGAACTCAAAAACGATGTGGCTGGAATAGGGGGATTGGGAAAAGGGTGACAAGAACATTCAAGAGCCTGGGAAAACTCCTGCCAGAAAAGGAACCAAAAATTTAACCTTACAAGACCGAGAAAAGGAAAACTGATAGAAATATGGAGGATACTGATTATGGAGACGAGGTCAGGAACTTTATCTCTTCTAGTCTTGTAGTGTAGGCCCACAGGGGCACAGGATGAAAGTTCACAGTTGTTCCAAAAGGTTTTATTTATTACTAACCGGGGAGGTGATATTAACAGTTCAGGCTTCATGTTGTAAACTCAACTTTAAGATTTTAAGAGGGGAAAGGATAGGTGACAGCCACAGCCCTACAAAAGCCTAACTCCTGACAAATGTCCCTCTTCAGAGGGAGTAGTTACTTAGTTACATCATGCTCCACTTTTTAAACTGTTACTTGGATTTTTCCTGATTCATCCCTCTTCTCAAATGCTGTTTACATTCTGTAAGGGGAGTTAATAATTCAGCGTACTGTGCTCATTTGCAAAAAAAATAAAAAGCCTTTGATAGAGATGTCTAGTGCTTGTGATGTTACGGTGTCATTCAGCTACTGTGCAACTTTAAAATATCTTTTTCAATATGTAATATCTCATGATTCTAGTTTGCGTGCTTTGGAAAAAAGGGTGCATTTAATTGCTTGATTAGCTGGCCTAAAGCCACTTACTCATATGTATATGAAACAAATGTGTGTCTATGGGTGTTTGTGTGCACGCACAAATGAATTTACAGTGAAACATGATAGGGGATTGCTCAGTGGGATGCAAATAGAATAAGACAATGTTGTTTGGTTTTGGTTTTGGTTTTGTTTTTTTTTTTTTTCCAGTGGCTTTCATGACCTTCTTCTTTCAGGGTTGTACACAGACTACTCTTTCCCCAGTGCATACTAGTTCCCTTCACAGTGTCAGAAGGATGACTGCTGCTTTGAGAGATTGTTCCTCGAAACAGTCATAATTTTTCCTTTCCTTTCCCTTTTCCAAATATTCTGCTGCTGCTCTGGGTCCACCACATTCTTTGTGCCATGGCAGTGCATGAGTTAAATTTTTCCAGAAGCATGATGCAGCTCTAAAGTAACGTGTCTGTTGACAATAAACTTGCTGGAGAGCATAGAAGCTAATGCACGGCCTTAGACATTTTTGCACTTCTTGGAACACAGATATTAATCTAAACATCCATATGCCCTTTGTATTGATTTGAAGTATATGGAGACATTGAACAGCTGATCTCAGAAAAGATCTGTCATATAGAGCTTTCCCTCTGTTTAGCTTGCTCTGAACAGCTCTCAAGAAATTAGATACTTTTTAAAAATAAGATGAATGGGAATTCTGAAGCTTGAGTCTTTCCTCTGACAGAAAGATTTTTCTGTTTTTTCTTAAAGAAACACGAATAAATTGGTTACATTTTAAAATATAAATATTGTTAAGGACCTCAGGCTTGTAAAGAGGGAAATGTTTATTTTAGAAGGGTATATTTTTCCAGATATCAATTACTAAATTATTAATTTTTCCCCTTCATTTTATTACAGCTTTCATTTCTAGGTGGCTGGAATGATTAATGGGATG